ACGCGTGCAAGCGCAGGCCAGCGGACGCAGTGCCGCGGACGTGTCCATGTGTCGTTGGCCTCCGAGCCCCACGATTTCGTCGAGCATGTCTTTTTATTGTGAAGGCCTTGCGGCCAGTGCCGCCGACCCCGAAGGGGGACGACGACGGCGACGGCGACGGCGACGACGAAAAACATTCCGACATTGGGGCTCTCTTGCGCCTCGTGCGGGCCTCTCGGCGGCTTCTTGGGCGCCTCTTGGGGCCTCCTGGGGGCCTCTTGGAGCGGCACGCTCCAAATGTCAATTGGGGTTCCCCCTCTCGGGAGCCTCTTGGGGTACTCTTGGGGCCCTGTTCGCCGTCTTGGGGGGGCCTCTTGAGCGATCTTAAGGCCGTCTTGGGCAATTTCGGGACCGTCTTGGGCCGTTTTCGGGCGCTTTCGGCAGCCTCTTGGACCGTCTTGGGGCGGTGCTGGCGGCTTCCTGGGCCGTGTTTGAGCGTCGGAAGCACGAAAAGGCGAGGACGCGAACAACACGGAACAACTCATTGAGAATCGCAGATTTTCTTTTCATGGGGCCCTTTTGGGACTCCGCTTGGAGCCCTCAGGGGGCGTCTTGGGGGCTTCTGAGGCTGTCTTGAGGTTGTCTTGGGCTGATATTGCGATGGCACCGACGAAACTCAAGCTCACGCGGTCCTCTTGCGCTGTTGTCGGGAAGCGGAGTGGGCCCCTTGTGGGAAGAGATTTCGGTGGATGAGCGTAATTCGAGCGCACTGGAAGATGTGGGGGGTCGGCCAATTGAGAGGGCCTGGAGGCTGGCGGCGCCGACCCTGTTCGCCAGCAGGAGAGGCAGATTAGCGACGCAAAAACACGGAGTCGTGTGCTCAGAAATTGGCGCGTAAGCTGCCCGCGTCAGGTCGCGCGTAAACGCCCTCGTTTCCAAGGTGGTGTGACGCACTGGCGGCCCGCGTAAGCCGCCGCGTAAGGTCGCTACGCCATCTCGCGTAAGACCCAGCTTTGATCGCCGGCCCAGACCTGCTCGAGGTCCGGGCCTCAGGTCCGGGCCCCAGGTCCAGACCCCAGGTCCGGACCAGGAGGAGGAGGAGGAGGAGGAGGAGGAGGGGGAGGGGGAGGAGGAGGAGGAGGAGGAGGAGGAGGAGGAGGAGGAGGAGGAGGAGGAGGAGGAGGAGGAGGAGGAGGAGGAGGAGGAGGAGACGCTGGCCAGCGGCCGCGTGTACCCCAACTCCGCTGGGCCCCCCAGGAACCCACGAAAGTGCCGACAGTTGCGCAGTTGGCAGCTCCCCCCGCAGGGAGCCGCGAGGTCCCGACGCGATCCGCGTGTACCCCAACTCCGCTGGGCCTCCCAGGAGCCCACGAAAGTGCCGACAGTTGCGCAAGATCGCAGGAGGCGACAGATGCGCATATCGCAGCCCCCCAGAGGGCGCCGCGAGGAGGAGGTAGGAGGCAGGAGGGAGGTGGGCGGGAAGGCGGGGCGACCGGAGTGCTCTATTCAAAACGAGTACCCAACCAAGGGAGGGTTGGGGAACATCTTACTGTCATTTTACTTATTCCGTTAGACTGAGACTTGCACCACAGCGAGTTTTGGATCTAAGGTTGTCTTTTTTGATGGTTGATCTGTGCAGAAGACATGGTCAGGTGGGGAGTTTGGCTGGATCGGCACATATGTTAAATAATAACGCAGGTGTCCTACCTTGAATCCGATGAGAACAGAAATATCATGTGGATCAAAAGGGGAAACGCTTGCTTGATGTTGATTGTCAGTACGTATGCAAACTGTGAAAACATGGCCTATCGATCATTTAGGTATGAGAAGTGTTCAGCTAGAGCGACAGGATAACATGGATAACTGATGGATAACTGACTTGTCGAAGCCAAGCGTCCATAGCTCACTTCTGAATTACCTGGCCTCCCTTGCCCTTGACCTTTTCACGGTCGCTTTCGAACAGCTGGATTTCGTTACCAGGTAGCTAGCTCTGTTGCCAGAGGAGGCTTCAGAGTCTTCCCAACCCCCTCACTTCCTCACCCCCTGATCTCCTGAACCCTTGATCTCACCATCCCTTCAGCTCTCAGCCTCCTCGCCTTCAGCAGTTCATTTCTCGGTCGCGCGCGCGCGGGTTTTCCGTGAGTCGCCCTTAACACAGTGGAAATTAATATAAAAATCCGGAGGCCCCGGCTGTGTGCAAAGGGGCAAGCCGCGGGCGACTCTCTCTTGCAGCTCTTTTGATAGTTGCTCTTCCAGCGCGCGACGACACACGTCTCCTCTCTCTCCTCATCCCCTTTCTCTGCTTCCCTCCCTGTCCTTACTACCTGCTTCTCCCCCACCCTGGCTCGTCCCACCTCCAGCGGGGTTCGCGAGGTAACCAGACTTAGTGCAAGTTTGCGCGCGAGAGCTCCAGGGAGGGATTTCCAAGCTGATTCCACGACATCGGAGTGCATCGAAAAGCTCGGCGAACATGGCCAGGGCACTGGGGAGCGATGCGGGAGTCTGTTTCGAAATACGACCGAAGATTTCCAGGAAGCGGAGCCATCCAGGCAAAACACTCTCGTGGGAGCCTTGGCGGCGTCTTGCAGAAGCTTCTCCTGCTCGCCCCTGCGCCTGGTCCACCCTCCCCTCCCCCACCTCGCCTCCGTCACCTCCGTGCCACAATCCCTATTCCCTGCCCTGGCTCCTGCGTCTGGCCCTGCTCTTCTTCTGGCACCGGGGGCCCTCGGGCGGCGGCAGCTCGGCGGAAGAAAATCAGTGAAGGCGCGCGGACGCAAGCCCGCTCCAGAGGAGACACTCGCACTCTCCAGCCTCGAGTCCCGGGGACCTTCGGCAGCGTGGGCTCTTGCGAGCGACTCTTGGGACGCACCTCTGCGGGGGCCCTCCGCTGGGACAAGCCCAAGAGGCTCCCGCCCTCTGTTGGGCGGGCGGCCCTATAGGTCTCTCACATCCGGCAGCCAGCCACGGAGGCCAGCAGGCCTGCACCGTCGACCGCCCCTTGTTCAGATCACCGCGAGCTCCAAACCGCGCCCTCGCCGGACCGAGGTTGTGCCGCATGTCAACCTGGGTCAGCAGGGGGCCACATGCGAACCCTACCCCTGCCCCCCTCAGAAATCGTGGGGGGCAGGGGCAGGGTTCGCATGTGAGCCCCTGGTCAGGCCACGAGGTTTTCTGGCAGCCTCTCCAGGGGCCCTGGGGCGGCAAACGCTCGGCCCGAGAAGGCCGTCCAAGGTTTTCAGCGCATCTCGATGCAGCGCTGGTCTGCAAGCTGCCCGCTCCGTGAGGGGAGGTCGCTCTCCATTTCGCCTTGGCTCCCCGCCCGCTGGCCGGGCACGCCGCTCCCGCGGAGGAGGAGGGGGAGGGAGGAGGGGGAGGAGGAGGAGGAGGAGGAGGAGGGGGGGGAGGAGGAGGAGGAGGAGGAGGAGGAGGAGGAGGAGGAGGAGGAGGAGGAGGAGGAGGAGGAGGAGGAGGAGGAGGAGGAGGAGGAGGAGGAGGAGGAGGAGGAGGAGGAGGAGGAGGAGGAGGAGAGAGGAGGAGGAGGAGGAGGAGGAGGAGGAGGAGGCGGAGGCGGAGGCGGAGGCGGAGGCAGAGGCGGAGGCGGAGGCGGAGGCGGAGGCGGAGGCGGAGGAGGAGGAGGAGGAGGAGGAGGAGGAGGAGGAGGAGGCGGAGGCGGAGGCGGAGGCGGAGGCGGAGGCGGAGGCGGAGGCGGAGGCGGAGGGGAGGAGGAGGAGGGAGGAGGAGGAGGAGGAGGAGGAGGAGGAGGCGGAGGAGGAGGAGGAGGAGGAGGAGGAGGGAGGAGGAGGGCCCCGCGTTCCCTCGGACCCGGTGGCCAGCCAGGGAAGCCGGCAGGCCAACCATCCTCATCGGCTTTCCTGGACCACCCGAAAGTCCGAACCGCGTGCAGTTGAAACCGAGGCTGCACCGAATTCTGGCCGGAGTCGCCCCGCGGGTTTCCTGGCAGATTCTCCACGGGTCCTGCTGGGGCGGAGCACGTTCGCCGTGGGAACGCCGTTCGGGGCTCTTCAACAAATTCTAGACGCTTCGCGTATCCCAGTGTTTGGCTGCGTTCCAACCTCAGTTGATTAAACTTGCATGCGCTCGCTCCTGGGCCTGGTTCCTGGCAGCTGCAGCCCGCGCCCCCTCGCGCTGACCGGCCCGCTTAGGCAATTCGGCTCGCGCGTGCCCGCTCGACCCTATTCGCCGTCGGCGCTCTCGCCTGCGGTCGCGACAAAAAAGTATCCCCACCAGCCCATCCAGAAACGATGTCCAGGCGAGTTAAGGTGATCAGGGAAATGCGGCAGCAAAGAGGGGGACGGCCGAACCGTGCAAAGGAGTGAGGAGGAGAAGGGGTGCAACCTCGGTCCGCACGCCGCCAGCTCTGTAAGCCGAGGTCGCTCGCAATTTCGGCGTGGCTTCCAGCCCCGATTGCTCCACGGACCTTCCACGCCCCCCGCTCCGTCGGGGAGCGTGTCCTCTCCTTCTCCCGGGGCATCCTGGTCAGGGTCTTATCCTGGTCTGGGTCTTCCCCGGCAGGCCCGCAGGTCCAAACCTCCGCATTCTGGAGCCGTTCCAAGGTTGTTGTGGCACAGGTTCCCCCTTTTAGGGTTCTTGACCAAGTTCCGATGCAATCTCGGTTTGTAAACCACCCGCTCTGTAAGGCGAGGTTGCTATCAGTTTCGGCCTGGTGTGCAGTCCCGGTTCTTCCATGGTCCCCCCCGGTCTGTGGGTCCAGTCGGCACGGCGACCTTGTGGACGACGCTCGAAAAACCAAAAGAGCCAGAGTGAGTGGCAACCTCGTGGGTGTCCGCGTTTCTCCCTCCGGCAGACCTCCGTGGCCGTTTCGGCTCCAGGTCTTCGGAGATCCGCTCGCTGCCTGGTTTTGCTGTCGCGCCTGCGTTCTGGACGCCCGATATGGGTGCGGAAAGAATGGGCACAATGCCCAACGACAGTTCTTGTTCATTTTGAAGAGGATTCGCTGTCCACGCCGCCGCGGCCTGTGTCCATTCGAGACAGAGGGCCGCCTGCCCAACAGCGGCCGCTGTTGGTTTGGGACAACATTTGTTGTTGGGGTTTGTACCCATTCTTTCCTTTCGGGCGTCCAGATGCGTGGCGGAGGGGTCTCCCCGAAGCCCGCGGCGGTCGCCGCCGAAGGGTGTGCCCAGGAGACCGCGCCGCTGGTGGCCTCCAGCCAGAGTCACACCTCCTTCTCTTCCGAGGCGCTTGTCTGCCCCTCATGCCGCGTGAGCGCCAGCGCTGCGGCGGGCTCTACGGTTGGACCTGCGACAAGGTCGCTGCCTTCTGACGCGCCCGGGTTGCGCCGGTCGGCATCGTCTCCCGCGGCATCGTCTGGGTCAAGAGCGGCTATACGGGGAGCAGCGCGAGAGGGAGATCCCGCAGGGCGCCCACCGGTGGATGCGGCGCAACGGCTTGGCGAACCCTGAGGCCCGCGCGCTGTGGATGTCTCCCGCAGAGTGGGCCGGGGCGGCCTGGCCCCACCATGGAAGTTGGTCTGTCTGCGAGCGCTGCGGCCTGCGCACCCCGCAGAAGCTGACGCAGAGGAGCTTGGGCTGGCCCGACCTCGCGCTGGCGTCGCGTCCCTGCAAGCGCTGCCACGGGCCCTGCCCCGTCCCGACGTTGGCCGAGATCTCGGAGCTGCTGCGGGGCCTCTCCGAGGAAAGCGCCCTGCTGCTGCGGCCCCTGGACCGCTGGCAGGGGAAGCCGGCCACCAGCAGAAAGTGCAGGCCTCGAGGCTGTCTTGGGCCAGAGCCACCGAGGAGAAACTCCGGAGTCTGCCCCGCGACGCGCCGGCCCGGCGCGCGTGCGAGTTCGCGATCAGCGACGAGTGTACCAGCCCTTGCAAGCGCATCTTGTCCGAGCTGGCCGCGGCCTTGGGCGAGCTGGGGGCGGGGGGCCGAGAGCGGACGCCGGGGGGCCTGAGCCTGCCGATGCGGACCCTGGCGCGGACCTTCCTGGACGAGCGCTGGTTTTTGTAGGATGGGAGGTCCTTGAAAAGCTCAGAAAGAGCGTCCAGCAGGGTGGGGGTGTCAAACGCGGCGGGGGGGGGGCGCGGCGCGGGGGCTCGCCGGGTGCCGGCGCAGGTTCTGTTGGGTGAGTCTTTGAAAAGCTCGGAAGGAGGATCCAGGCGGGTGGGGGTGTCAGACGCGGTGGGAGGGCGCGGCGCGGGCGCCGGCCGGGTGCCGGCGCTGGTTTTTGCAGGGCGGGGGGTCCTTGAAAAGCTCAGAAGGAGGATCCAGGAGGGCCGGGTCGGTGTGTCTGTGAATAGAACCCGTGTAATACCCTCATATATACTCCTTGTCCTCACCTCTCCTGCGCCTGGCCGTTTGGGCTCAGGTATTGGGATAGATCGATCAGACCTTTAATCGTGCAGGAGGGAAAGACATCCATCTATCCCTCCTTCCCTCTACCAACGGATCAGGGGTTCTGTACCCTTGTACTTCAACCCCATTCACAGGTTCTCAGCCCTTTAAAGTTCACTGTTCATCGAACCCCGCGTCGCGATCTCGCACGCGGCCTCGATGGAACCCAAGCGGCGCATGCGCCGTAAGGGGTCCATCGGGGCCTCGCGTCCGAGCTCCGACGGCGCGACGGCTCGGTGACGAGTTGGAGATCCTTAGTGCGGACTGCGTTGGTGTCCCAGGTACCTCCCCCAGCTCCGACGGACCCGAGGCGCGGCTAGCTGCTGAACTTCACCGCAGCGCCGCCCGCGGGGGGACAGGAGAAGGAGTAGGAACAGGTAGGAAGGAGTTTCGCACGCCTACCTTCGATCCTCCATCTCCTCCTCAGTCGGGAGCAATCCCAACTGCGTCAGGCGAAAGCCTCGCTGGTCCTGATACTCCAGGGCGATTTCGCGCTAACCGCCGATGGACATCAGGTGCTGGTACCCCCAGCCCTGCGACCGTTCCTGTTGCGGAGCACGTGGCCACCTTCGAGGAACTCAGTAGACCAGTGACGACGCAGCCGCAGACGCAGTACCCCAAGGTCTCATCGGATGAGACACCACACACACGGTCCTAGTCGCAGCTCGTCCGCGCGCAACCGTCGTGGGGCCCCAGGCCCATGCGGCGAGGGTAGGTCGAGCCCGCGTGCAGCCTCTCAGAGGCCAAGCACTCCTCGCGAGAGGGGGCAGAGGGAAGCCTATGCTCCCCACCTCCATCTCAGACGACCAGCTGGCGGAAACGTCCGCCGCAGGTGAAATAGCTGAGCTCAGAGACCAGGTTGAAACCTTCGTGTCCAGGCAATACTCTGGACTACTGCAGAGCGTTCAGACGAACGCTGCCAATACTGCAGCCATACGCCAAGATCTTGACGGCGCCTTAGGGATCATCGATTCCAGGATTGCCGAAGATCGACGCATCATAGGTGAACTGCAGTACCAGGTTGATCGCGAGGTGTCACACTCAGGTGAACGAGCGGCGATGGTCGAGAACCTGCGCAACTACCTAGCGCAGATGGAGCAACAGCTTGTGCTCGTACGCGACACAGGCGTTTCAGCAGTCAGGATCCTCCACGATGAGATCCACGACCAGCTCCGCAACCGACCAACACCAGCCGAGGACACCGACCTTGGCGACGTTCAGTCTCAGATCAATGATCTTCGATCCCGCGTAGACCACACTGCGGCGACGCTTCGCGACGAGGCACACACCAACCCGTCGAACCTGATCGACATGTTGCAACGTACTGAGAGGGTCATCACTCAAAGGCTTGATGCGACCAACGCTGTCGTGCAGCCACTCGCTAACCAGATCTCTGACATCGAGCAGCGTTTACCTGGCGTACAGGACGCCCTGGCAGAGTTGCGTGTCGGACGAGCCCAGACTGATCAGCTGGATTTTCCTCCCACGGTTTACGATTTCGCCCGCCTCGCTGACAGGTTGCAGGAGGTTGAGGAGGCGGCGGGCCACACGCAGTTGGAGCTCCCCCAGGTTGTCCGTGAGAGAGATACTGAGAAAGTACGTGTTGAGGGGCACCTCGCACGTCTGGAAAGCGAGCTGGAGGCGCAAGGCGCCCGTCTCCGTGCCTACGAGCAACGACTTGATCGGTACTCACAACGTTCTCGGGATACTGATGAGTACACACGCCAAAAGGTGGCCCAAATACACGAAGACATGACGAGCTGGACGAATCAGCTGATCGACCACACCAACGACACCAGTCTCCACCTTCGACCTGCAACCGACCTGCACAAGCCGACGGCAGCGTCCGCCGAAGCACCACAAGCTTCTGCAGGACAACAACGACGTTCGTCACCAGGAGCAGCCTCTGCGGCAGCTTCTGCACAGACACGCCATGTGTCTCCTGTGCGCATAGAACCGACGACTGACGGTGTACCGATACCCTCACAACCATTGTCTGCGGTTTCGGTCAATACCACTACTCCTATCAAGGAGTCAGACACCGTCCGAGCCCCTGTCTTGCCTAAGACCACGCAGCTGCTCGAGTGGCAGCAAAAGGTGCGGAAGAACTTTGGCGCCGCCTCAGGGCGACCATCCAAAGCATATGCCTTCCTATGCGTGGCTGAACAGCCCGAGTGTACCTTCGTGGACTTACAAGACAGTGGAGATTTCGAGAGCATCGATTGCAAACTCGCTACCGCTCTGAGTGACATCTTATCCTCAGACTTTCGCTACCAAATCTGGCTCATCGAAACCAGAGAACACAAAGCTGGACGCATGCTCAAAGGACGCCAGATATACTGGCACATCCTACAGTCCTACAAAGTGACAGAGGTTGATGACGACCTGCACGACTTCGAGCGCCTTAAAGAATTGAGGATGGGAGATGAAGATTCGCAACGTTTCATTACTGACTGGGACGCTTTACTATTGGAGTGCCGAGAAGCACCCGACCCAAAGATCTTGGAATCTCTGTTTCGTACACAGATTCGGAGACATGCCTGGATGAAACAAGACATGTATGAGTACCAGCGCATGAAGATCAGCGATCCGAATCGTACCTATGATTGGCTCCGACAGCGCGTCCTGGACGTACTGGAGCTCGAACAATTGGAGAACATTCAAAATAAGTTACGGTACGAACATGAGACACGGTCTCAAGTCAATGTTTGCGCTGCCTGGAAGAAAGGCAATTGTCGCACTGGCGAACGATGCAAGGCTTCGCATAGATATTCCAGGGATTGGAAGACTAACAAATCTTCCAGAGCATCGACCGCTGGTGGCAACTCCCGCCGCAGCGCGTCAACTCCTGCGAATCACAAGAAGCCAGCATCGAAGCCATTTTGCTTCGGGTTCGCCAAGCGCAACACATGCAACAGAGGCGACAAGTGCAACTTTCCACACGTTGCACAGTGTGAAGACTTCGCACAGAACAAATGCATTAAGGGCGGCAAATGTAAATACGCTCATCTTACACCTGGCGCGGAGACTCCCGAGCGAAGCCCGAGTCGACCACGGACCTCCAGTCAGGATAGTCGTGGCCGATCACCATCCCGCGGATCAGGAAGCCAACGTTCTTCACAACGCGGGGGGGTCCGCTACACAAACGACTCACGCCATGGACGTGACAACCGACGACGCTACGACCGATCTCGTTCATCCTCCAGGAGGTCTTCAGACTCTCGCAGTCAGTCGAGAAGTCGTTACGACAGATCTTCGAGATCTACCTCCCGAGGACGAGACAACCGTAGCGGCGGACGTGGCAGCCCACGCGGCCGTGATAGATCATACGGTAGTGACAGAGGACGTGGCAGACGTTCCACGAGCCGTGGATCGTCCCGTGGTTCTCCCCACGCCAGAGCACGTTCTCCAGATCGCTATCGACGTTCACGCCGTTCCGGCCGCAGTTGCGTCATTCGTGACAAGACTCTCATGGCCAACACTAAGGTCACTACGACATCTACCAAACCACGCCGTCGGATACGTTTCGACACACGTAATGTGGAATACTACCTACATACCGTATCTGGCAGGGCCAGATTGGACAAGTGGAAGGAGATGCCGAACGAGGGTGGCATTGTCAATGTACCAGACCCGCTACCACAACGATGGTGGGATCAGAGTGCAGACGCTCTACGAGAATGTCAAAAAGAGGCACAGCTGTGGTACAAAGAACTATACGACTACCGACACAACAAGGAGTCGGTGGTCACACCATTTGCGATCCGAGAATACGACGACGCTACCAAGCAGTCATCTAAGAAAGCCCAGACGAAGACAACGACGATGCAAGTCGACCCACCACGCTCGACTGCTGCATTGACACGATCTTGGGTTCTCGACAGTGGTTCTGCGCATCATATTCAGGGTAAACATGAACTGGCGCAGACCGAATCGGATCGCATATCTATTCGCGAAGAGCATATTCTGGAAACTGCCAAATGGTGATCGTACTGTCAACGAGCACTACGACATACGGCTACCCGAGGTTGGCTTACATAGTTCAGCCCTTGCCTTGCCAGACTGTCCATCATTATTATCAGTTGGGAAATTGATTGAGGTTGATGGCTTTCGGCAGCTTTGGGATCCTGAGCTGGGCGACTTGCTTCAGGACCCGGGGGGCCAATGGTATAAGATTCCAGTCAACAACAGAGTTCCAGAATTACGACTCGACGGAGTGATTATGACGGTGATATTGAAGACGGAGTGGATTATGATTCACAACGATTGGTCCAAAATTGGCACCGCAGTACTTGGACAATATGCCAAGGACAGCGTTCAGGATACAAAATACTATTATGGAAATGGTCTTTGTGCCCCTTCTGATGTATACAGCAATGGACTGGCAACTCCTAGCTATGCTCCTAAACTTGATCGTGGAAGGATCAAGTTACCCACACGTCCACCTGGCTTAGCCAGGACATCAGATACTGCGGGACACATTGGCCACGTTGTCGAAGATACTCTTGTCACCGAAATGAGGGCATTTTCCGACATTAGCCAGACGAGCAAATTCCGCCGCAAGCTCAGTACATGGCTGACTGCACGCGGAGGCTTTGGAGGTATCGGATCATACCCCAAGACGGTGGCAACGCCATCCGATCACCCAGACGGCTGGCAGGCACTACCAGAGTACGGCGA